TGGCAGTAGTTATGCACTGGTCTGCTAAGTGCAAGATCTGTAGTTCAAAACCACCAACCACTCAAAAGTAGAACGATGGCCCTTCCGTTCTTGTAAAGAGCTACAGTCTCAGAAACTCACAGAGGAAGTTCTGCCCTGTCTTACACATTCACTATGAGACAGCATTGACTAGATGGCAGTGAGGGTGGGTTGGTTAAGACAGAACAGAACTGTTCTTAGCATTTTCAAGAAAGCAATTGTGACAGACAAATGAAAAAGCAAGGCTATCACTTTGAGGACTAACATGATCCTGACCGATCTTCGATCTCCTCAAATGCACCCTTAACCTGAAGAATGCGTTTGAGAGTTAGACAGAAGAAGGATCAATGCCTTTGGATGATGGTGGTGGTGGTGAATGATGAATATATCAGAGACTGCAAGAATACACCTGTCTGGGAGGAAGTACGGCCCGTATGCGCCTTAGAAAGTAGGATGGTGGAATGTCGTCTCATGTACTTTGGACATGTTATCAGGAGGGTTAGTCCGGGTCAGTGCTAAAGAGGAAGACTCCGTGAGGTGGGGTGACACAGTGGCTACAAAACAAACATAACATCCCTCAGACATGGGCTCAAACAGAACAACAACTGGGAGGAGGGGGCAGGACCAACGGACTTTCAACCTGTCTGCTAACATTCAAGTGCCTAACCACTGCACCACCAGGGCTCCTTGCTCAAGAGATAAGAAGGGGAGGAAACCAGCAAGGGCTCATCTTGGCAGAGAGCAGTTGGGACAGGGTTGAGGGAAAGAAGGAAAGAAGGAAGAGTGCTCAGTCACCACCTCGGAACCAGAAAGGTGACAAGATGTTCTTGCTTTATTTCTTGGCACTTTTCAGTCCCCAAATCTGCTTCTGCTTAAAGATTTAACAAGATGAGAAATGGGGACGTTGGAGGCTATTACCTGCTTCAAAGTTACCCAACTACCCACGCCCTCTCTCCCTCCCCACCCCCACCCCCCCTGTTTGCAGAGTAAACGAGGGCCAGAGATGGGAAGGGAGGACGTCCACACGTCTCTTCACTGAGCAGACTGGAGGCAGCCTGGTGGAAGCCCTCCTGGACTCTCACTCCACACGGGGCAGCCCTGTGCCTGACATCACCAGACACAGCTGCTGCATTTGCTTGACCTGTTAGGTGCCTCTCAGTGGACAGGCCACTAATTTGGGTATCTGACATGCCCTTGCTTTTGTTCTTAAGAACAAAACCATCCCCAGGATGCTTTAGAAGAGAAGATTTTAAAACCAGCTGCCGCCATAGAAGAATAGAGATGCCAAATTTTCCACAGGGACTGTAATAACCTTTGAAACAAAAACATTGCCCTTCCTGGGTCTGCAATTAGAAAGCCCCTTTCTTCTTCTTCAGACAATTATAAAATCAGGACTTCTGAGCTTCTCCTGGTCTGAACAAACCTCTCTCTGCAAGGATCCCCACTACAGCACACAGAGTGAAGTCCAACCTCCCTCACAGCTCGGCTTGTGGGAGACAAGTCAACTTTGGGATCAAACAAATCGATGTTGGAACACAGTTATTTAACCCCTCCAAGCCTCTGTTTAGTTGAAAACAGAAACAAAAATGAGAGGGAATCCAATAGGGTTGTTGCAAGGATTCGGACTTACCCAGCACAAGGCTCAGGCTCATTGGTTGGATGGATCGAGACCAGCAGAGCCTCCACCCTTAGTCAACCTTTGGGTCTGGAGCTGAACTCACCCCAAGGGAGAATAATCAACCACTTCAGATCAAAAGGGACAGAGTTCATCAGGCTAGGGAAGAGGAGGGATGGACACAGGAAACACAGGGAGGGGGGGGACACGCGAGGGTACACTGAGGGGATGGCCAGGCCTGAGTTGAAGCAAAATGTGTACGAATGGTTGAATATCAAACCAATAAACCGCACTGTGAACTCGCACTGACTTCACAGTAAGAAGTTTAAAAACAAAGCATCCCGCAGTTGCTGGTGGGGTCAACCTCCACTCATGAAGACCACACATGGGCCGGAGGAGGACTGTGCTCCAAAGGCGGAGTTGGGGCAGTAGATGGCCACGCTTTTCTTCTGAGCCCGATTCTGGTAGTGGCCACTGGTGTATCATTGTTGTTGTCATTGTCATCGGGTCAATTCCAACTCATGGCAACTTGTCACCAACACTCAACAATGAAGTCATTCTCAAAGAACAGTCTACATAGATCATTGGGGACCCCCAAGGCCTTTTAAGGAAATCTGACAAAACCACTTTTGTAATAATGCTAGCATGTGCTTTTGCTTTTTTTCGACTCTCATCTCTCATAACTGGGGAAGTTTGGGTCCAGCAACCCACACCCTGGGGGAAAGATGTGGCAGTCTGCTCTCATAAATATCCTAGCCTTGAAGCCCGGTGGCATATCTAGTCTGTGCTACAGAGTGGCCATGAGTTGGAAGGCATTTGTTGACAATGTTTGGGGTTATTATGACACATATTAATATTTATAATCTATATTAACTAAATTTTGTTTGGTTTTGTTTTTGAGTCCCCATTGACTGTGAAGAGTATAAAAAAGAGCGTGGAACCAGAAAGTATGGGACATGCTGCAGTAAAGAGAAGCTACTTTTCTGGTAGCACTTAGTACCCTCCACCACCCCCACCTGCAATCCTCCACTAGACCCAGTTGCCTGGCAACCTCTCTTCCCATCACATGTTGGCCCAGCAAAACCCAGAACTGGGTAGATATGCCCCTTTCTGGAGGCAAAACTGGTGGTTCTCACCGGGTGGCACAAAGGCCAGCATCAGCTTCACCATGGAGTGCGCTAGAAATACAATTGCTCTGGCCCACCAAGACCCTACTCTGGATGGAGTCCTGTGCGCTGTGCTTTCGTGAGCTCCGTGGCTGATGGTGATGCACGCTGGAGCTTGAGACACTGACTGACAGAGGGGTACAGGCCACGTGCTGTCATCTTGGGGAGGCCTCCAGGGCAGCAAGCACACATTTCACAGGGTGGCCTTGTTAACCGGCGGTCAGTTCTTGCTTGGTAGTTCTGGAAGGGGGCGTCAGGCTGCACTCCTAAGAATCTCCTAGCTGATGTCGAGGCTGTTCAACCCTGAACCAAAAGTGAAACAGCAAAGCCATGGAGTCCAGCAGGGCTCAGGCTTTATGGAATTATTAAAGCTCTTCCCGGAAAAAATGCATCCACATACTAAATCTGATGGTTGATTCATAGCTGTTCGAAGCCCACCTTAAAAAAACTCTAAATCTTTAGGAACCTTCTCTCTCACTGTCGACATTTATCCTTGTTCCGTACAGCAGACATCTCCTAAGCCAGTCTGTATGCATTGTCTGTCTTTTAGTGCCAGGCCGGAATGCCCTTCATTCTCATAGCCACTTGCCCTCCACACGGTACTTCCATTACCGGACTGTTAGGCTGTCTAATTCTTTGGTTATGTGTTCACTTGCAGTCTCCCCGAGATGCGTAAGTCCTTCCAGAAAATGGAAGTCACTGCCATCGCGTCAATGCTGACTCATAAGGACCTTACAGGACAGGGCAAAACTGCCTGTTGAGTTTCCGAGATCGTAACTGTTTACCAGCATAGAAAGTCCTGTCTTCCTCCCATTGAGCAGCTGGTGGTTTCGAACTGATTACGTTTCCGATTGAGCCTTACATGTCCAGGAAGCTCTTAGAGGCATCTTCACCTGGACAGGCCCAAGAGAGGAGAGCACGTAATGGAGGGCATAGGTTGCTAAATGAATTCGTGAACATTAACTTTTCACAAGGCACACTAGTGAAAACATTCCGGATGCTTAGACACATCTGCCATGGTCATCTGCTCACCCCATTATGAACATCTCTGTTGTTGTCCCCACCATGGTCACTCACGTTCTCACCCTGGCCCTCATCCTGCCGTCCCCTCCTAGGGCCACTAGCCCTTTCTCTTTGCCCATCTAAGCTCAGTCACCCCTCAAGCTCCGGATGACTTCCAACTAATTGGAGACACTGATTCAAGGATGCCAAGGGAAGGACAGGGCTCCCCACAAATCGGCCTGTGGCACGAGAGTCATGGCCTCAAATGGTGATGTGAGGTGGAGCTTCTTTTCCTACACTGCTAGAGGCGTGTGACCCACATCAACATGTCACTGTGCACAGGTGCCATTGTAGACAAGAACATACTCGTTAGAGGAGAGGCACTCCTCCAAGCTGTGAGGTTGTGGTCCTCGCTGGTCATAAGGTCTCCATAGAGCAGATGGGCGGGGCTCAAGTCAAGGATGGGCAGCTCTGCAGTCAGTGAGCGGATACATTGCTCTCTTGGTTGGAGTGTTGAGGAAACACCTTTGATTCTTTAGGAACTTACCGGTTGTAGCTGGATCCTGGGGTCCAGCGTCTGTAGAGAGGCCATCACTCCTCAGGGAGGAGGGCGGCTGCAAGAGTGCCCAGGCCAGGGGATACAACTCTGTTCTCAGCGAAGCCCAGTAACATGGCAGCCAACTCCCATCAGCCATATCACCCAAGGGAACTTGGAGAGGCACCTTTGGCATGAGCAGTGGTAGCTAGTTCTCTGTGATCACAAACCTCACTTCTCAGTAACCCGATGCTCTAGTCCCTGAGGGAGGACAGGAACTCCCACCAGCAGGAGAGGTGGAGAGTCACCAGCCTCTCAGCCGGAGGACATTCTGTACAAGTGAAGAGGGAGGCGCTGAAACCAGCTCTTAGTTCTCCACTCCACAACCAAGGAGAAGCAGGAAAACCCAGTGCACCCCTGCCACCCCCCACCCGCCCCACACACACGTGTACATGCACGCACGTATATACACACACAGTCAACTGGAAGGCCCCAACTGAGATGTGAAGCCAGTTTGCAAGAGCCGATTTGAAACATCACCTCTGACTGATGACACAGAAAAGTCAAGATGACAGGGTCAAATGTGACAAACAGGGAGGAGGGAGACAGGAGACACAAAAATCAGAACACTGCTGGCATCCCTGCTCTTGGCCCACACACTTACTGGCTCTTGGAAGTAGAGTTGGTAAGCAAACAGCGGATTGGCTTTGAGCTTTTCCAGCAGGGTCACATTGGGATCCATCGGCATGAAGGGCGTATTCAAACTGGCCACTGCCCTAGGAAGTAGACGGTACCAAGATACAGACCATAAGAACAGGTTCTAAGATGCAGAAAGGACCTTACATGTTGAAACTGAAGCTCAAGAAGGAGAAATTATGTTAGTAAAACTAAAACCTCCTTTTGGAAGCAAAATCTGTTAGGAGCTGACCTATGTTCTCCACAAAGACATGCTTAAATCGTAACTTGAAGCGTCAGTGGCTGTGGCCTTGTTTGGAAACAGAGGCTTTGCAGAGGTAACTAGCTAACATGAGGTCATATTGGAGTGGGGTGGGCCTAGTCCAAGATGACTGGTGTCCTTATGAAAAGAGAAGAAACAGATCCACAGAGACACACAGGGAAAGACTAAACAACCAAGGAGGCAGAGATTGGAGTGAACCACCTCAAAAGCCAAAGAAGACTTGGGGTGACCAGAAGCTGAAAGAGGCATCAGAGGACCCTCCCCTGGAGTCCCAAGAGAGCTTGGCCCTGCAGGTACCTGGATTTTGGATTCTACCCTCCAGAGCTGTGAGGCAATAACTCTCTCTCGTCTTCCACTCCCTAATTCTGGTGCGATGCCGTGGCAGCACTAAGCCTCCAATGTCATCACCAGGTGGTTGGCCAAGAATGGACGCAGAAAGCCATCCCTGTCAAGCAGGCCAGCAGCCCCTTGTGCTAAACAGGTAGTGAGTGACACCCACAGTTTATCTCAGTAGAAAACACGCAACAGAGATGAAAAGAAAGGCTTCACATAAAGGTGGGCTTTTCCCCTACTGTTGTTGTTGATAGTGTCATTGAGTGGACTTCTACCCATAGTGACCCGAGGCACACCTGAAGGAAATGCTGCCAGGTGCTCCTCTACCCTCACAATTGTTCCTGTACCTGAGCCCATTGATACATCCAAAGTATGTAAGACAAAGTCTTGCCATCCTTGCTGCTAAGGGATATGCTGGCCTTGCTTCTTCCAATACAGATGTTTGTGCTTCTAGGAGTCCATGGTATTTTCACTATTCTTCTCCAGCACCACAATTCAAATATATCTATTCTTCTGAGGTCTTCCTTATTCAGTGTCCAGCTTTCATATGCATATGACGCAATGGAGAATACCCTGGCTTGGGTCAGGTGCACTTTTAGCAACATCCAAACTGAAGTAACATCCTTGCTCTTCAACACTCTAAAAAGGTTTTGTGCATCAGATTTACCCAACACGTCTTTTGATCTTTTGACTGCTGCTTCCATGAGCATTCACTGTGGATCCCATAAGACAAAATGCTTGGCGCCTCAACCTTTTCTCCATTTATCATGATGTTACCTATTGGTCCAGTTGTGAGGATTTTGGTCTTTCTTACATTGAGTTGAAATCTGAACTGAAGGCTGACATCTTTGATTTTCATTAGCAAATCCTTCAAGGCCTTTTCACGTTCAGCAAGCAAGGCTGTGCTGTCTGCATGCCCCAGGTGCTTAATCAACCTTCCGTCAATCCTGTTGCTTCTGCATACAATCCACGTTCTCTGGTGATTTGCTCAGAATATAAATTGAGTAAGTATGATGACGGGATACAACCCCGACGCACACCTTTCTGATTTCAAACCCTGTTGTATTCCCTTGTTCTCTTCACACAACTGCCTTTGCATCTATGTACGAGTTCCAAAGGAGCACCCCGAAGTATCCCGGGGTTCCCATTCTTCTCAATGTTATCCACAGTTTATTGCGGCCCACACGACCAAATGCCTTTGGATAGTTAATGAAACACAAGTAGACATCTTTTGTTTTTTTTCTGGTTTGAGCCAAGATCCATCAGACATCAGCAATCATATCCCTTGTTCCACATCCTCTTTTGAATCTGGCTGACCTTCCGGCCTTTCCTGTGCCTGAGCCCATTGATGTGTGCTGTTGCAATCGTTGTTGGACAATCTTCAGCAAAATTTCACTTGTGTGTGATATCAAGGATATAGGTCTATAGTTTGAGCATTTTATTGAGGTCGCTTTTCCTTGGAAAGAACACAAATATGAATCTCTTTCAGTCAGTTGGCCAGGTAGCTGTCTTCCAAATTTCCTGGCACAGATGAATGAATGTTTCCAGTGCTTCTCCGGCATTCTGGAACATTTCAATGGGTACTCTATCAATTTCTGGAGCCTTGTTTTTGCTAAATGCTTTCAGGGCCATTTGAATTTTTTCTTTCAGCATCATTGGTTCTTGCTCATATGCCACCTTCTGAAATGGTGGACTCTTGGCTAGTTCTTTCCTGGTACAGTGTCTGTGTATTCTTTACATTGTCCCTTTAAGCTTCCTGCATCATTCAATGTTTTGCCTATAGAATCAAAATTGCAATTCGAGGCTTGACTATTTTCTTGAGGTCTTTCACTTCCAGGTGTGCTTTTTCCCCTTTGATTTTCTAATTCTAGGTCCTTGCACATTTTGCTCTTTGTTATGATATTTGGCTTTGTCTTCTCGAGCTTCCCTTTGAAACTTTCTATTCATCTCCTCGACTTCATCCTTTCTTCCATTTGCTTTAGATACTGTATGATTAATAGTAAGCGACAGAGTCTCTTCTGACATCCACTGAGACCTTTTCTTTCTTTCCCATCATGTTAACAACCTTTTGCCTGCTTCATGAATGGAGTCTTGATGTCCTCCCACAGCACAATAGGTCTTCTGTAATTTGTGTCAGTCCAGCAAATCTGTTCTTGAGATGTTTGTGAAATTCAGGTGAGATAGACTCAAGGTCACATTTTGGCTTCTGTGCACTTGTTTTAATTTTCTTGACCTTTATCCTGAACTTACAGATGAGCAATTGATGGTCTGCTCCAGAGTCAACACCTGGCCTGGTTTTAGTTGCTTACATTGAGCTTCTCCATTGTGTCCTCCCACACATGTAGTCAATTTGATTTCTGAGTATTCCATCAGGGGAAGTGTAGCCTTTCGTGTTGTTGAAAAGCATATTTGCTGAGAACAAATCGTTGGTCTTACAAAATTCTATCATGGGATCTTCGGTGTCATTTCTATCACCAAGTCCATATTCTCAACCTATTGTTCCTACCTCTTTGTTTCCAACTCTTGCATCTGGTTACCAATAAATATCAGTGCAACTTTTTTTCTGTTTCAATTTTGCACAATTTATTTACTTATTTACAGTCAGCCAGGGGAAGTGCAAATGGCTGCAAAGGGTGCCGGGTACTTAGCTGGAAAGATCCGACAGAAAGAGGTCTGATGACTCTTTTCCACAGGCCTGCGCAAAGGGGGCGTGGCCCCAGATTCCAGCCAAGTCTGGGTTCAAAACCAGTCATCTGACAGCTCTGCCTAGGGCCTTGAAATGCCATTCTAATGAATGATTAGGACTGAAGGGCGAGAGATACTGAAATGCCAAGAAGGTCACATTGAACAGCAATTTGAAGGTGGTAACCAAAAGGATCCCTGGTGGCATAGTGGTTACAAGTTGGGCTGCTAACTGCAAGGTCAGCAGTTCAAAGCCACCAGCTGCCCCATGGGAGAAAGACAGGGCTTTCGACTCTCATAAACGGGCACAGTCTCAGGAACACACAGGGGCAGTTCTGCCCTGCCCTTCGGGGGCACCAGGAGTTGGAATCCCTGGCAGTGAGTTTTGAGTTCTGAGTTTGCAACCCAAGCTCAGGAGCCCTTGTAACCTGTAAGGTTGATGGATTGAAGCCACCCAAAAATCGCGAAGAGAACAGGCTAGGAGCTGGGTTGCAGACCTATTCTGACAGATATGAGTCCCCAAGAGCCACCTAACCTCAACAGTAATTAGGCTTTGATTTTGTTCTTAAGCAAAGTCTATGGGGGTGGGGGGGATGATTTGTCACACAGTCTGTTCAGAGCAAAATGAAAGGGCAGATTTTCAGGCTCTCGGTGCAGGGTTGAAGACCCTCTTGGTGCTGAATTCTACTTAACTGTCACCTCAGTGGCTTTACCCACCCGCCTCGAAGTGGACCCTTACCCTGCTCTGTTCCCACTGGCTACTTGGGGTCCTACTATCCCACTGCCACTGGGACAGGCTTTACTTCCTGGGCTCCTTAAACTCTCCCTGTTTACATGTCAGTGGATGAAAGAGTGAATGTGCTGCCATCCTAGATAGGGGCTTGTGTTCAAGAAGGTTTCTCAAACATTTAGAATGCTCTAGGCATTTAGAATAAGTTTCATGTGATTCTAGGTCTCTGTGCCCAGTCAACATTTATTCAAATTAATTTGCTGCTCAGGCCCACTTACTTCACTCTCTCAGGGTAGAAGAGAGCTAAGCTCCACACCAGTGCACCTCCCCAGTCATGGCCAATGAACACCGCTTGAGGGATCCCCTGGGGAGAAACAGACGGGGAGACCAAATGTGGCAGCATTCAGGGATGTGGTGCTGAGACCCTGGGCCTCCCTCCTCTTAGGCTCCTCCCTCCGTGGAGACATTGCACTCTCTTCCTAGGGCTCCCCTCCCCCACTAGTGTCCACTCTCTTCTCACTCAGTTCCCACACATCACTGCCCCCACGCTCCAAAGGATCGATGTGTCCCTGCCACTTTCTGAGCAGACGGGGGCCACAGGTCTGACCGCCCTCTCCCCAGCTGCCCTTCCTCCAACCAAAATCTCACTCTTTCTCTTTTTCTCCCTTCTGGCTGGAAGTGAAAGAGGCCTGGTGGTGCTGTGGGTTGGGGCTGGGCTGCTGACCACAAGGCCCGTGGTTCAAACCACCAGTTGCTCCAAGAGAGAAAGATGAGGCTGTCTGCTCCCATAGACATTCTATATAAAGTCACTCAGAATTTGAATCCATTTAGTGGCAGTGGGTTTGTTTTTGTTTTTCAGGTCTTAAAGAAGGTATGGCTTACTTTCTAATTTTCCATGTGTAACCCATTGTGTACTCCCTCTTCCTCCTCCTCCCCCTGCACCTTGCTTGCCCTTGTTACCTCTCCCCCAGGTCTCTCGCCATGGCTGCCTTCAAAGAAAGCTTTAATCTGTTCCTTAATTACTCATGGCCAACGAGAATTCCCCAAAGAGATCAGTTCAGATTTGGGAGTGACTTACCAACTTATCCAGGAAGGTTATCATCTCCTAGGAAAGACAAAATATGAATCAGAAATCAAATCCACCCTCTCAGAGAAGACAGGGACTGTGATTGCTTCCAATCATTCCTCTAGTCTTTGAATCACCGCATTCGCTTCCCAACAACCTCTGCATAATCCGGCAGGCTCCCAATAGGCTCGGGGAATGACCGAGTTGTTGACGAGGATGCATCTCCAAGTCCACTATTGCTAGAGAGAAAGAGGAGGGGCCTCTACCACGTGGATTGACACTGTGGCTGCAACAACGGCTCAAACATAGCAACAGTGTGAGGCGACACAGGACAGGGCGGTGCTTCACTCGCATAAAGGCAGGGTCACTCTGAGTTGGAGCGGCTTAATAGCCCCTAATACAAACCAAGGACAAACTGTATACTTGTTAGCAATGATTCCCTGGTCCTTTCTTCCCCTAATCCCTGGCAGCCACTCGTCTACTTTCTGTCTATGGTATATTTATTCTGGCTACTTAATATAACCAGAGCCAAAGAATAGGTGGCCTTTTGTGACTGGCTTCTTCTATTTAGCATGAGGTTCATCCATGTGACAAGTACCAGTATGTTCATTTGTTTTTATTGTTACATAAGAATCCACGGTATGGATATGCCACGTTGTGTTTCCCCAGTCACCACTTGCTGGACATTTCTGTGGCTTCTACTTCTTGGCTCTTCTAAGTAATGCTCTGATGGAGAACCCCGTTTCTGTGTGAGTGGGTGCGTTCACTTCTCTTGGGTGAATAATACCTTGGGGTGGACACACAGATGGTGTATTAAAAGTGGGGGCACAAAGACAGGAGTGCCGCCTCTCACCACGTTTGTTTCCAACAAAAGGGCTTTGCATTCTTTTGAGAGAGACTGGTTAGCTCGAGTGAGCAGATTTATCTATCGTGAGGACAGGCTGGACAGAAAAAAGGGGGCGTTCAGGTAACTGGGCAGCGGTGGGTTTCAGAGAGGCCCCAATCCAAAGTCACAGGGGAGTCTTGAGCTGGGGTGGCACGAGCGGTTTCATGCCATTCATTTCTCCAGCCTTGGTGTTTGTGTTAGAATGGAATGGAGTTCCGGGTTCTTCTCGCCTCACCTTGCCCTCATCTTCCTCCTGCAAGCTCTGAGATGAGAGACCCCCTTCTCCAATGGACCTTATACCCATTTTAATCGAGCATGCACCCTCTAACCCCTAGGCCTGGCATACAGCCTCTTTCCCTTGGCAATGTGGGAAGGAGGAAGGAGCGGTGATAGAGAAGAGCAGCTAATGCAGACTTAAGAGACCTGACACAGCAGTACCACGGATGCTATTGGCCTATTGACTTCAGACAGCTACGTTACCTCCGGAGAGCTGTTTCCTCTGCTATACAATGCTGCCAACCATACCTGACAAAAGGTAACTGGTCTAACTCTTGGTTGCCACTCCAAAATATCAACTCGATTTTCAGTAATAATTTATAGCTAAGGGCTAGGAAATGCACAGCGCCTGTTTTAAAGAGCTGGAGAGCAAGGGCGTCACTTTGAGGACAAAGCTGTGCCTGACCTAAGCCAGGGTATTTTTGATCTCCGCCTGTGCAAGTGAAAGTTGGACATTGCATCAGGAAGATGAAAGAAAAATGCATGCATTTGCATCATGGTGCTGGAGAGGAATATTGTAAGTACCGTGGATTGCCAGAAGAACAAACACAGTTATCTTGGAAGAAGTACAGCCAGAATGCTTCTCAGAAAAAAGGATGGCAAGCCTTTGTCTCACGTCCTTTAGATACGTTGTCAGAAGAGATCAGTCCCTGAGGAGGGCCAGTATGCTTGGTAAAGTAGTGGCGCAGCGAAAAAGAGGAAGGTTCATAAGCAGATGGATGGACACAGTGGCTGCAAGAATGGGGTCAGACACAGGAACAATGGTGAGGCTGGCACAGGACCAAGTGGTGTTCATCTCACTGGGACTTTATGAGTTGGCAGCCACTGGTCAGCACCCAACATCCACACCAAGCCGAAATGTCACTTCCCTAAGGGTTCAATGGACACCTGCCTTCTTGGTCAGAAAGCCAGAGGCTGGACTTCTAGCAATGAAACACCAAGACAGAAAAGCTGTTACAGAGATACCTGAAGGTACTTCTCACCTGGCACAACACCTCCATGGAATATTCTTCTATTCCTGTAATTTAAAAGAAGTGTTTCAATCACATGATGAAAATAAACCAATAGCCGAAAGGGACGGCTTTGTGAAACAGTACACAAAAGCAAATGGACGTATGTTTTACTTAAGGTTTTCCTTTTGCCGAATATACAGCCGCATCGTTCAAGGGGCCGGAAGCAGCCGTGGGTCGTCACATTTAGGAAACAATCACAAAAGGCACTTAGTTGGTCCGTGTGAGACCTGGTCCTTGTCACCTGACATTCCTGCTGCGTGCCCGGCTGTGTCACCTTCCGGCCTCCAGACGCGTGGCTTTTCGTGGTTTTGATTGAGGAGCCCTCAAGAACTGAGGGCAATGCACTTTGTCCCCCCAGGAAAAGGCTTGATAAATCCATATGGGGGCCAGGGCCTTAGAAAACTCGATGCCCTTGCTTCAATAGACTCTCCTGAGATGCAAGCAAATCAAAACACATGCACCGCCAGAGAGTCCATTCCAACTCAAGGCAGCTCCATGTATGTCCAAGGAGAAATGTCCAATAGGGTTTTCAAGACGTAAGCTTCCTAAAAGCACATCACCAGGCCTTTTGTCCAGTGCTACTGGGTGGGTTTGAACTGCCAACTCTTGATTAGTAGTCAAGTGTAAACGACTTGTGCCACCCGGGCTTCTGGGACCCAAAGATCCTGGGCTAAGAATCTGAACTACACCCACCCTCTCCAGCTGGGGCTCACTTTGGGACCCACGCCACAAACGCACGGCCACCACTGGACAGAGTAGAACTTCCCCTGTGGGTCTCCGAAACTTTATATGCTTGAGGAGGAGAAAGCCTCATATTTCTCCTGCAGTCCCGCTGGAGGTTTCCAACTGCCGACCTTGCAGTGAGCAGTCCAGTGAATAACCCACTCTGACACCAGCTCCCCGCCACCCCCAGCCCCGGGGGCAAAGGTTGAGTGTATTTCTGCAGAGTGTGGGAGCCCTGGCATCGAGGGCCAATGTGCAGAAACACAAAACATGAGCAGAGCAAGGGGTGAAGCCAGCCCACCTCACTTGGCAGGGAGGCCTTGCACTGCTGCCTGCTTGGACTGGGGCCAGAGGCAGCCCAGAGCTGGTGGGAGGTCAGACAGTCAGAAGGCAGGACTGATCCTGGACGGGGAAGAAAGCCAACCCACCGTGAGGCGCCGAGGACTCTCCATAGCCTTTCATGTCCACAGCCAGGACCCGGTAGCCCGCCCAGGCCAGAGCAGGGATCTAGAGAGCAGACAGGGCAGACAAAGACATCAGCCCTTTGCCGAGACACCCTCTGGGCTTCCCTCCTGTCTCACGTTCTTGGAAATGGTCGGCCCAAGTGCACCGTGGGGGGTCGGACCTGGTAGGTGGAAGGAGGCTGTCTGCACATCGGAGGATGGTGAGGGCACTACAGGCAATGCCACCGCTCCCAGAGGGCACCTTCTCTGGCACAGAGCTTGCAGATCTGCATATTATGAGGAAGATTTCCAAGCAGGTGACACACAATGCTTGGAAAGTTGCCCTTTGGTAGTTAATCTGCAAAGGGGCCTTGATGTTGGACTGATGGTGCTCTGAGGCAGCAGGGTTGCTTTAGACACAAGGCCTGATGGGGAGCTTTCAGCTTCTCACATTTCTAATGCACATGACAGGCCGGCCCATGCTGTCCTGGCTTGCCTTTCACCTCACCCCGAGGTGCACCTTTCCCCAGTCTCCCTCACCTGGTACCTCCATGAAAACCAGCTCTCAGGAAAGCCATGGCAGAGGCACACCACGGGCCCACTGCCCAGCTCGACAAAGTGCAGGCGGACCCCGGGCTGTGGAAGAAACAGGCAAGTGGCTATTGAGGACAAGCGTCCAGTGGCGAGCAGGCACCTGCTCTCCTCTGTAGATCTCTACGTGGTACACCCTGACCTATTGCTGGATCTTGCATGGCCCAGCCTTCTAAGCTAAAGAGCAGAATGTCCAGTGAAAATGTCTTTGAGGAGCCGGCTGACCACGGCTGTACAATGGAAACCAGGGGCTTCCTTTGGAAAACAGTTGGGACCAACGATGAGGTTGAGGAAAGCAAAAAACACAAAAACAAATAAACAAAACCACAATGAAACCTTTGCCTTCCTCTCTAAAAGGCCATCATACTATCAGAGCTTCTGGTGCTGTGTGACATCTTTGTGTTCATTTTTTTTTT